AGGTAACCGGGGAGAGGGGCCCCGTCCCCACCCGCCCTGCACCGCGGGGGGCCGGCGGGGTCCCCAGCAGCGCTGGCCCCTGGTGCTTCCCACCGCCCTGGTGCCTTCTGCCCCAGGGGTGCTGGCAACACCCAGAAAGGGGTGAAGCTCTCCAGTGCTGGCCCGACCCTTTCCACAGCTGGCAGAAGGGCATGAGCAGGGGCATGCTGGCAGTGCTGACCACCCTTCCAGCTGCCCCGGGGCGCTGCTGCACCTCCGGGTGCCGGGGAGGTGCAGGAAGGGGTGCATGGGAGCTTGCCAGCAGTGCATATCCCAGGCACTGCCATGGTGGTCTCTGGCTATGCAATTGCACCCAAAGCCTCCACCAGGCCTAGGCACTCCCCTGGGTGAGTGTGGACATGCCACTGCTCAGCCCCTTCCCCATGTGGCAGCACTGTGCGGGTGCTAGGGCTGAGCCAGGCTGCTGCGCTCGTGTATGGTGGGACAGGACTTCTTTCCAGCAGCTTGTCCTGGTTGTAGTCTGATTCCCAGTCTAGGACAGCCACAGGGTGTTTTTTGTCTTGAGTGAGACTCCCCCCAAGTCTCTGCTTTCACGGTCAGGTGCAACTAGGGGTGTCAGTGTCTTTCCATAAGCAGGGATTTCATGGGCTGAACTCCTTTTCTGGTCCTTGTGTGCTTATTTAAAGCCTGTCTCAGGTCGAGCTGCTCTTGCATACCCTGGGTATGAAAAAGCACAAAATGATGGGGCTGCGCTGAGGCCTTCAGCATGCTGCAGCATCACCTCAGTGGCATAGGAAGGGGGTCTGGCAGGTGCCCTTCTCTCATACTCCCTGTAATTTGCTTTACATGAGTTTCAGTGGGATGGTTGTAGGGTACAGCACTGCCCACGTGGATGCTGTGCTGCGTTTGCAGGGGCTGGGCACTGGGAGGAAGATTGAGAAACTCGCACGCCTCATCTCTGTTGTTAACACCCATTTTGGGTAGTCCTGCTGTCTAGTTTTTCGTTGCCCAAAGCTGACTGCCTGTCTGTCTCTGTTCCCTCTCAGCTAGGCACGTTCAAGTCTCACGATGGGGACTATTTTGTAGAGCCGCTGCTATCACTTGAAGAGCAGGAGTATGAAGAAGAGCACAATAAGCCACATCTAGTCTACCGACACCGGACACCTCACACCAACTCTTCAGGGGACAGGCAGACTTGTGATACTCCAGGTACTCATTTTGTTACTTTCCTTAATGACTTGGCACTTACAAAAGGGAACTAATTTGCGGTAAAATGGCGCTAGGTTCACTTGAGGCAAAAGCAAGCAGGGATGTGGTGTTGAGGGACCCCTCTAGAAACGGTACCGTGTGTGCTAGGAACAGGCTCTCTCAATGGTACTGCTGTCTTGCTGAGAGATATGGTGTGCCTTTGCTTTCTTTCTGATAGCCACTTCTGAGGAAGTTGAGATCAGGAAAAATGTTCCTGTTTCCATTTCATCCCATAGGCTGGCGAAAGATCCTTTGGGCTCTCTTGTCTTAAACATCTCATGAGTCTTTAATCTTGCTTTCTGTCTTCTCCTAATCATACTTTCTCAACATCCTGATTTAATTTGCTCTTTGTCTGAAACTCCCTTTCTGTCATCTTAATGGCATCATTCCGTCTTGGTCTTTCTGTGCCTCCAGTCCTCCCCCCCCCCCCCCCCCCCGGCCCCGTATTTGACTGAGAGTTGCAATGGCTTGTTTCTTTCTAGTGGAAATAAGAAGGTACTAACACCAACCCTGACAGTTCTCCCCTTTTTAACCACTTCCCAGAGTTCATTTTCAAAAGCTTTTTTTCATGGCCCTCCCTCCACTAGTACTATCTCCCTGACCTCCTCGCTCCTTATTTCTAGTCCTTCCACATATGAAAGAGCACAAGCCTTTTTATCTCCCCTTCACGTGTCTTGGTGAGCAATAGCCCTGCTCCTACTGCCCCTATTATCTGAAGTGGCCTCCTGCTGCTCTCTGCTTAGTTGACTTCCTGATTTTTCACAACTAATCCTCTCCTTTGGCAGCAAATACCCAAATTCTCTCTGAAGAAGCTTACTCCTTAGGTCTCCTGTTTCACCTGCTGTTTCGCCTTCCTCCTTTGGCCTTCAGCTAGATCTGCAGGAGCTTTAAAGCCTAAACCTTGAGTGGACCTTGACTGGCTTCCTTTACACAGGCTGAGAGCCACTCTAGCAGGTGGAGTTACTGAGAGAGTACAGGTGCCACTTGAGAAGCACGGTGCAAACCATAGACTGCATTTAACGCACGTGACCCGTTTGGCACCCGTGACTGTGGATCATGGCTGTGCTGTTGAGCTGTCAGTCTGTTCAGTTTGCACTGATCGCATGATGCACTAAGTCAGAGGATGCGCTGATGCTCTGTGACCGGCCAGAGCGGATGTACTAGTGACCTGTGTTTTTTTCTCCTAGAAGACGTAAGTGCTGGGGGCCAGTGGTACCTCTCACAAGGTTGACATTGTTTGTTCTTCCAAGGGTTGCTGCTGGACTATGCCATTCTGGTTTCTCTCTTCCAGCTGTTTCTGCTCCCCTCTTTGAGATCAGATGCAGGAGACTCAGAACAGTTGGAAAGAAACACGGAATCTGGCACATTTCATCAGTAGCCCTTGGAGGAACGGAGCAGCAGATCACGGGACTCATTGAATCAAAGGTAGCTGGGAGGGCTCTGACAAACATTTGTGGACTTTATGCTGTGTAGTTATAACAGCCCCTTGTAATTTCACCCCATTATGTGTTATCACAATGTCCATTTAGGGTAGTATTCTTCTGCATCATGATTCACAAGAATATTACTCTGTCCACTGTACTTCCCACACTATGTTTCTCTCTTTCTCCTCTTTTCCAACGTATGCTGCCTCTTGCTTATCTTTGGTGTTTCCTTTTTCTTCTCAGTTGCTTCATGTGGTGGAGAGAAGAGGTCTAGCCTCTCAAATAAGGGTTTAAGCATTCCAGGTAGTCTTACTCGACCTCACTTCCCTGCAGGTTCTCCCTCTCCTTTACACCCCCGTTCCAGTTTTTGATAGGGAATACTGCCCTACTCATACGTGTCTGATGAACACGTATGGTCACTTCATTTATGGAGGAGGTACAGGGCACCTTGGGGAATGCTGAAGTTCACGTTCTCCCCTCCTGATTGCATCTGATGGAGACAACGTACCTCGTGGCTTTGGAGCGGAGGGGAAAACACAAAATCTAGCAACGCTCGCTGTTTTGGACAGGCGGCATCTGTCACTCTTACTAGAGAAGAAGGAACGGTTTCATGAGAATTTGGGAGTTTGTTATAGTCATAGGCTGTTGTGTGAATCCAGCCTTTTGTCCGAATAATGTGTAAAAAGGTGCGTTTGCATTGCAAGCTTCTAGCAAGAGTTGAAATTCGCTCAAAGTGGCAACTCAATGCAAGGGAAGTCTTAAGGATCCACCCTGCAGTGAGCAGGGGAGAGCACGTTGCCGGGCAGTGGTGGCATTAAGAATGTCTTTCTGATAGCATTCTTCCTGGAAATGATTAATAAACAAGAGTGGTGTTTCCTTACCATGATGTTGTAATTATAGACTTCTTAAGTTTCCCTTGTGAGCAGGCTAATGGAAAGAGTAAAAGTTCTCATTTCCAGTGGCCTCCGTGGTGTTATTTTTAGTTTTCACCTTGATCAGGTCAGCGTGGTACCTGTCCTTTTGATTCTGTTAAGTTTTAATTAGCAGTTTCTGATAACTGTGTTTTAGTACGCTGATATATGAGAGATTCTGCAGATGTTCTGGAAAAAAAGATCTTTCTCCTCTGAATGCTGATGGATATTGAATGCAAGCTGTACTCTGCATATAAGCTTTTATAGTATAACACAGGGGTCTCCTGGCAATGTACTTCAGCCTTCTGGTGTATAGCTCAGCAGCAGTAATAAAACCCGTTGACAAAAGATTTCCTTGGGGTAATGGGTAATGTAGTTTCAGTCATAGGAAATGGTGCAATTTCTCCTCTTTTTTTTTCCTCTTTCCCGTCTTTTCGTTACTACCATGAATCAGTTTGTCATCTGGCCTGGTTGAGGATCTGGCCGAATAATTAGTTGCGTTTTACTGAATAGCACTGACAGGATGAAGACTTGGCCAGGCTGACTGCATGATGTCATTAGGTGCAGCACTGCTACCACCCATTGCTTCACGATAGCTCTTCCGATCCAAATTATTAATATCCGCTTTTTTGAGGTGGAGGAGGAAGAGAAAAGAAATTCTGGTCCTAAAAAAAGAAAAAAAAGGAAGTTGCTCATTGCAAAGCTCAAACTGAGCTTTCCTGAGCTCTGTGGAGGAACAATCTGAATCCAATGATAAAAAGAGCCTAAGTGCATCCTGCAGTGAGATGGATAGCTATGCCCTCGGCTCTGGACTGGCCTGTCCTCAGGGGGAGGTTGGAGGGGAAGGCCAGCAGGAGCTGCTCACCAGGCCAGCCTGACCTCCTGCAAAGAGCAGACTGGAGAGACCTACCCATGAGTTTCTATGTGAAACCCCTAAGTTTTGGTCTTGCAGAGAGACCTCCACCTCCAGATACAAACAGGAAACTGCCTCCAGTTGTCATCTAAATAAACCACTTCAGGCCACCTCTTATTCTGTTCCCTAAAGCTTCCTGTCTCTGGGTTGCACGTCCTTTGTTTTACCTGTCTATCTCTGTTCTTCAAACACATTCCTCAGCTGTGCTTATATCTCTGTGTTTTAATTTCCAGCCCGTCTCTGTTTTATTTGAATGATTGATTGTTTCACTGAAGTATGTGGGGCTTGGGGGAACCCAGCTCCATGAACCCCTTTGTCCTGTAATGGCACCTTCTTCAGTTCTAATGTTTTCTTCTCCCTTTTCTCTGTTTTTGCTTGTTCCTTTTGCTACTTCTCCTGTTCCCCATGTTTCTGATGCTTCTTTGTGTCATTGCAATCAAAGTTTACACATAGACTTTTGTCTTTTGCTTCTCTTGAGCCCTTCTGTTCTAGTTGTTTGGGATTTTTTAATAGCTTTAGCCTTTTACTGAATTTTAGTGAATAGTTCTGCCTGTTGTCCACCTCTTGCTCTGAGACAGCTCACTGAGCCACAGTTGCCCTGTGGCCACGGGTGCGAATGCAGAAGCTGGGTGCTCTTGTCTCCCCACCTCTCTGGTTTTGCTATGTGCTCAGCTATTTTAATACTCCCAACTTTGTAAATTCCTTGTAGCTTTTACTGTGTCCCTCTTCCAGGAATCCTGAATGAGCTCTTTTGGGCTGCTTTTTCTTTGTTCTCACTGTGTTCTTGTTTCTGCTCTCTTGATTTGTGCTTTCTCTGTTTTCTTTCCAGCTTCGTTAGTTAAAAGCCTCCCTGTTCCCTCCAGCCCCCAACACCGCTTTTGCGTCGTTTTCCATAGTTCTTTTTCATAATCAGGACCCAGCTGTGGCTGAGATGAATAAATTGAGGGCCAAATATGTAGCAAGCACTAGTTGTTACCATGACTCATTGCTAGTAAGCCATGCCCATTCTGATGTTCATGTTTGACAGCGGCTTTGGGGCTGAATTTGAGGATCTGGCACAAAGGCCTGGCTCCTTAATGAGAGTACTTAAAGGAGGAATATCCACCACAGGCAAAACTCCTCATGCAGAAGCAGCAATAACACTCTAATGGTGCCAAACTAGTAGGAAGACGATTAGAGCTTTTTCCATTTTTGGAGGTGAGCCAAAGGGTTGTAGCCAGCAAAGAGGCCTTCCAGTAATCCCTGCTGCAGTGGGAAAAGTTTTGAACCGCGCTCGGCTTCGTGCAGGACAGAGCAGATCTTACCTGAGAACAGATCTTACCTGTGCATTGCCCTGATATCAGGGGAGATGGGAAAGCCCGGTGACTTGGCTGCGGACGTTGCTTTCCAAAGAAAGCTGAGCTTTACCCACACAAATGGCTGCTCGCCTGGCCTCCACACTTAGGCAACCCAGGAACCTGCTAGGAATCTCCAGTTCTCAACAGGGTATTTAGTTGTAACCTATTAGAGAAGTTTATTTACTTGGGGAGGAAGCATGTTACCCTCTGATTTGAGTAGCCAGCCGCTGCAGCTCCGAAAACGCAAGGCCTGTGTCCTCCTACGCGTGAGAGCGTTTCAAGGAGCTGTGCGTGGCAGTTGGGTTGAGGAAGCGGCTACAACAAGCACGAGGCGAATCTGCAGCATGAACCAGGTCCTGCCGCCGAGCTAGCGTGA